CTGACCCCGCTCCCCAGCGCGGCGCCGGGCGGGGGGTGGCCGCCATCAGCGAGCCTCCTCCGGGGCGGCAGCGGTGGGTCCCGGAGCCGTGATGTTCTCTACAGCCCCCGTCTGCAGGGTGCGCGGGGGGACCTGTTAGAGCTTGGGCGGGGACGTGCGGGGACAGAGGAGGGTGGAGGGAGTCCCGCAGGACCCGGAGCGGAGGCTTCGGTGACCCCGCTGGTTCCCTGCGCGCTTCGGGGAAGCCGGCGGGTTGGCTCTGAGGGTGCCCGGGAGGGAGGGCTTGGGAATGGACGACAGTACCAGGGTGTAGAAAGGGGTGCGAGTTGAAGTCTGTTACTGAACTGAGCCTGATTTTCTGGCTTGATAGGGAGGTTTTCTAGGCAAGAAGAAAGATGTCTAAAGGAACAACGTTTTCTAAAGTAGTTGGGATGCTAAGTCTTATTTTACGGGGAGTGCCCGTCTTCGTCCCCTCGCATCTAAAAGATAACTGCCTAGGCGAGTTATGCTCTTCTTTGGTTGTTATCCTGAACTCTGCTCTCCCCATGCACCAAACTCCGTGGGTCACGTACTCTGTGGGTCACGTATAAGCGTTGCCAACATTCCAGGTTAGCTGGTTTTTCTGCAGCTGTGCACTGAAGCCAGAGGAGAGTTTTCATTGGGACCAGTAACCCACCCACTCTGCTCTGAAGATGCATGATAAGATATGCAGATGTGGGTAGGGAGATTGCGGAGAGCCAGTGGAGGACTGGCTTCTCTGCAAAGACATCCTCTAAACGTTTTAGTTTTTTGCAGACTAGACCAATGCCTTACTATCTTTGATTCAACTCTGCAAGGGGTAAATAAATAAAAACAAAACCAAACTCAGATCACTCACTTCTGTGGTGATCTGATAATTTTTCTGAAGCTGATGCCATTAGCAAAATGCTTCTGTGGTGATCTCATAATTTTTCTGAAGCTGATGCCATTAGCATAGAAACCTGCTATAAATCTGCTAGGTTAGTGTTCTGCTGCTGAGTGAATGTGGGCAATCACTGTACATTAAATTAGTCATCTTCAAAACCACAAACTACTTAAGAAAATGAATTGTTCATGGCTGTCTTTAATCCAAACCTCGTCATCTCAGAGTGTTGCCTGATAACTCAAAATGCATTGAGAGGGAGCCAGTTTGCCTTTCTGCGGTGGCAGTGGGTGCTTAGTTAGCTTACCTTTCCTTTCCTTTTCCTCTCTGGGGGGAATTTCTTTGCTTGTGTGCATGTTGCAGGACCACACGCTATTTTGTGCACAAACAATCAGCCATGCAACACACATCCAAGAATTCCCTGTGTCCAGAAGTGCTGAATGTCTTAGACTGCGATTCAGATAGGGGACTGGTGTGATAGGAAAAGCGCCTCAGATCACTTATGTTGCATCCTTTTCTTTTGGACCAATGGCACACGATTTTCAACAAGCTTCATGCAGCTCTGCATGTTCAGGGACTTGCATTTCCTCTTCTGCGTAGCTAGTAGTGTCTGTAATTCTGAGGCTGCCTTGTTGCATTTGTATCTGCATGTAATGGAGGTAGTGGGCTTAGAGAAGTGACTATTCTGTCGTCCTCCGCCCCACCCCTTCACAAAGCTTAATACTTCCTTTTTTTCTCAAGCGTTGAAATAACAAGAGAAGGGAAACCGAGCTGTGTGGCAGCTGCAGAGCTTCATGAATATTACTTGAAGAGGAAATTTATTTTACCTAACCAGAGAACTTCCTGTGTTAGTTGTCTGTACTTCTAAAGATCTAGAAATTACGTGTAAGGCCGTGTGCATGTTGCAGCATTTAATTGTGTGTGTGACTTAGAAAAGTTGTTCATAGGGAGATGTTTACTTCTGACTTCTGCATCTTTAACTCAGGGGAGTTTGAATGCATTTTCTTCCCTAAAAGTCAGATTCAGGAAGTTTGCAAGCATTTTAATAAGCGCTTGTAGAGTCTTCTGTGGTGTAGTTCTTCCAGAATCAGAACAGACTTGCTGTTCACCCTGCCCTGTAACGCCGGAGCACAGACAAATCAAAGGTGGCTGTTTGAAAAAAAAATTAAAAGAAAGCAGCTTTATGAGGATTTTAAAAATGCAGTGAAGTGATAGGGCCTGGAAAAGTCTAGATAGTCTTCTAAAAGCTTGATACCTTTTTCTTTCCAGTGGGGATTACCTGTATGTGATGGCAGAGTGGTTTTTGAACAGGGTTACAGCAATTTTGGGGGGTGGCAGGGAGAAGACCTCCAGAGCATTCAGACTTTTCTGACAAGAAAAATTCCTTGATTGAAGTGCATGTAACCCAGTTTGTATTTTGCTTAGATAACACGCTGTCTTCTAAAAGCTTGATACCTTTTTCTTTCCAGTGGGGATTACCTGTATGTGATGGCAGAGTGGTTTTTGAACAGGGTTACAGCAATTTTGGGGGGTGGCAGGGAGAAGACCTCCAGAGCATTCAGACTTTTCTGACAAGAAAAATTCCTTGATTGAAGTGCATGTAACCCAGTTTGTATTTTGCTTAGATAACACGCTCTTCACTGTACATGTAACTGAAAACAACTACACTAGTTTGTGACCTGCCAGTGGTCCTTTTTTTAAAGCTGACTTCACACGCAGCTTTTCACCAGCAGATGCAGATGAGGTGGTTCAGAAAAATAAAAGATGTGCATGGCCTTTGCCTTTATTCTGAATCCTTCTTTCCTGTTACCTGAATTTAGATCAGAGAAAGTGCAACATTGACCAGAGATGTACTTGAGCAACATTTTAATGATTTGAAAGGGACCCTAAAGAAGCTGTTGGATGAGCGACTAATGTCACTGCTGCAGGAGGTGGATGCTATAGAACAAGAAAGCATCAAACCCTTGGATGAATGCCAGAAGCTGATAGAGCACGGAGTCAGTACAGCCGATGATTTGCTCCGGGAAGGTAAGGCAGGACCTGATACTAAGTCTTAGCTCTGCCTTCCAGTGTGTGTGTCTCAAAGTCTGGAATGTTCCTGTTATGATCAGCATATTTGACTCATTTTGGACTTCTCTCAAATCAAATATTAAGAAGAAGTTAAAGTTGGGTAGGTGTAGTGAAGAGCTGATCAATATTATCTCCTACAAATCTGTATTTTAATATTTCGCTCCAGTCCTAGGGTGTACATCTGTCAGTGTAGCCTCTCCGTAAGGGCAGAAAGTAGCTACTTTGGAAATGTCTCACTGCAGAGATGTCCTGCACCCCTCCACACTAGAAGGAGGATTATGTCAGGCTACTTTGAAATAAAATACATCTTGGGTACCATAATAACAAAATGTCTCTGTTGGTTGAAGAAAGTTTTTTGTGTCTTAATGGAATAGCAGCTGAAGTAAACAGATTATCTTTCCTGTTAAGTTTGATTACGTTCCCTGTGATGGGGAACATGAGGAATGGAATGGCCACTGTATGGGAAAAATTTCTCCAAAAAGTCTGAGGATGAGGCAGACAAAAATAGACATGTGGAATATTATTGTAAGGCCAGTTTGTACCCTACTGATGCTAAATACCTAGCCAGAAAGGAATGTCACTCTTGACTGTTTTCTCCACACTGGAGAACCTACTGGGAGCATGTCTGAGCCATGAGTATGTTGGCAGTTTCCTTGCATTGTTCTCATGTCTCAACTTTAACTTTCTTTCAACATGATCTCAGTTTTGTGAACTAAAGTGCATTGAGCAGTCTCCCACGGGTAGGAAATGTACCAGCTTCCACTCAGACGTGAGCTTTGCGCTTTTGCTGGCTTGGTAGCTCTGTGCCTCTTGTTCCAGGAGTAGTGACAATATTTAAGAATTAATTTGTTGGGTTTTTTTTTCTAGCACCGCAACCTCTGGGACAGCTGTAGTCACCTTGTTTTTATTTTAAGTCTCAAATTACTGAATCACAGGGTGGTGGCAAAGATTGCCTGTTTTATATGAGTTTTTTATACTCATATATGAGTGTTTTATATGAGTTTCTATCAGATCTCATGAGAACCTGACTGGCTGTGCACTTTCTATCCCGTGGGTCACCATTCCCTCTGTAGCAGTAGAAGCATTGCTAAGTCATGTCGTCAAAATGAGCAGACGTTGCATCTGAGTCAGAAAGGAGTTAAACCTCCATGGTTATTAAATCTCCTGCTGCCAGTTATGACGTGTGCTTTTCTTTAGAGATTTGTAACATTTGTAATCCTCCATTTGGAAAAGGACTGAGCTTGCTTATGTTGTAAATTACCATAAAGTCATCAGATAGGAGAATGGAGCATATGTCTCTGTAAGCTGAAGTGTGGGATGCTACTTTATATGGAAAGCTTATGAAAACATTTCTGTTTATCTCCACACTTTAATGCATGGATTATTTCATTCATTATGACAATAGTTACCATTTAGATTGTAGCAAACAGAACAATGGTTGAAATCATTTTTTGCCTTTAAGCTCTTGCTTTTTTATCTTCTGCTCAGTGAAGATGCTTTGCTTTTTTCTCCCTTTAAAGCAGGTGGAGAAAGTGATTAATAATCCCAATTTCTGGCGTCTGACCCCAGTTCTGCTACTGTCTGAGACCTGAGGCAAATTATTACATGTTATGGGTGTGTCTACAGGAAGCTTTGAGAGCTTCAAAAGTTGCTACATAGGCTTTATATTGTTAACTATAATTGTATTTTCTAGCTAAGAGTCTAGCAAAAGTGCTGAGAATGCTTCATGTTTAACTGGTTGTTCGTGTCAGAACTGGTTATTCTTTGAAGCAAAGAATGCCTTTCTTGGACGTTTTCTCATTAGGAATATTTTTACCATTTGATTCCAGGAGAGAGTGCAGTCCATGGAGATGTGGGACAACAGAATGAGAAACTGTGCAGCTTTACAAAAAAAGCTTTACATATTCAGCTAGATAGGTAAGATACTGACACGCTGAGGTGATGTGAGGCAGCGGCACATGCGCTTTTCCTGTACAGGGGATCTTTTCTCCTTTGAAACAAAAGCCTTCCGCTCCATTGCCTTAAAAGATTCATTTGAGGTGTTACTGTCCTGTTTGTTTCATAGACTTTCACTGGGGCTGGCCATCAGAGAATGGAGTAGTTTTCAACCTCCGTATGTTCTGTAGAAATATAGGCTGTTTATTTGTGAACGATGAAACCACTTGTTGTGGAACAGCCTGTATTTCAGAGTATTTACTGAGAAACAGACAGTCTGGTTAGGGCTGAAACACAATGTTTTCCGAGTCTTTTAAGTTTGAAATGCACATGCCAATTTCTGCAGCTGTTCTCTCTTTGCAAATCTGCACAGATTCAAGTGTATGGACAAAATATGAATTTGTAGAAGCTGGCCCCTTTCATTACGGCAAACTTTCCTTTCTCAGCTTACCAGAAGTGCCCTCCTTGGTTGACGTGCCTTGTTTGTCTGCCCAGTTGGATGACTGCCTTCTTACTATATTGAAAAATCAAATATTCAGACATGGAACTGTGGCATCTCGCCCACCTGTACAGCTAGAGGAATTCATTGAGAAGCCTGGAGGTATTTTAGTCCGATGGTGTAAGGTAGGTAAAATACCCTGGGTGAAAATCATTCAGACTTCAGTTTTGTTGAAAGAAAATGAATAAGCCACTTTCATTCTGGATCCTCTACTGCCTTCAAAGGAATAGTCCACTCCAGTGCGTGGTTAGAAACTTTGGAAGAGATTTTTATGGTAATGGCCTCATTTAAAGGCAAGGTAATCTAGTGATGTTGTGGTTGGCGCTGGCAATGAACTTGTGTGTTAGACTCCTGCTGTTAGACTCTACCTGCTCCCATCGGCAGGGAGAAAGGGCCGGCACACTAATGCACCCCTGCCTCACCCCTGCACCTCCTTCCCAGTGTGTGGAAAAGTCAGGAGGGGCAGCTGAAAACACTGCTACCCCTGCTTCCATGCGTAAGCAAGTGCCAGGTACTGGACAAGCAGGAAACACCTCCTTCATATACTCTTCCCACTAAACAAATAAATAGTAGAGAGCAATCTATCTGTGATGCTGTTGTGCAAACAGCACCAAGAAATCCTGGTGTGTGTGTTTCTGACAGAGGTGATTTGCATGTAGCCATTTGTGCTGTGGAACCGAGTAGTTTGTTTGTGTGGCAACAACAGCTAAACACTCAGTGAGACTGGACTTCAGTGCTGGGGTGATGCTTTTGTTCCCTTTGAAGACACTTTAGCAGACCCAGGATGAGGCTGAGCCTGTTCTGCTATGCTTTTATGCCTAAACATGTTTGTCTTCTTAGGGAGATGCAGTGGATAGAAGGAGAAAACATTTTAATATTGGCATTAGCTAGTAGCCTTTCTCTTCAATACACAAAAACTATTTTTGAGTAAATCACTGCTGTGCTCTGATGTGGTTTAGTTGTTGTTGGACAGCTCTACGTTCTCTGGCAGCATTAAACAAACTTTTGTTGTTCTAGCAACAGCCAGCTGTTGGTCAGCCACCTTTATCTTGTAAAGGATGTGGACTCAGATTATAAACCCATAGGCACTATTGTCACATGCAGTCTGATTTTCTGTGCTACAGAGGAGTTCCCTGAGTTCGGTCATGCTTGGGGGATAGTGGAGCTTTTGTGGGGAAAAAAAAATTTAAATAAATCTCTTTTGACTTAAAGATATCAAAGAATTGGAAATAATTCCCTGAAACAGTTTATGAAGGATAACAGTGAGTTTCCCGTGCTGTTAAAAATTGGTGCTGAATTTCATCTCCAAATTTGTCTTCAGCTTTTGGCTGAAGGGTCTTATATCTCTGCAAGATTGAAAAACCTTCTGTTAAATGTTTCTTCTATAGATACTTTTAAACTGTGAGCAAATCATTCTTATACTACTTTTTGTATTAGTTGGTTCAGACACTGATTTTATTTTCTATAAGGCATGCTTTCTGCTCTTTAATACCTTCTGACTCTGAATCGCCTCTGATGACAGCCTGCAGTACTACCCTAGTATGTGCGGCTTCAGAGGCAAAAGGAAAAAAAAGAGGGGGTCCTAATGTAATAAATATTTCTCTAGGTGGATGATGACTTCATACCACAAGATTACAGACTGCAATATCGCAAGAGTACTGCCAGTCACTTTGAAGATGTATATGTTGGCTCGGAGACAGAGTTCATAGTGCTGCATATCGATCCTAATGTTGATTACCAGTTCAGAGTCTGTGCCCGAGGAGATGGACGGCAAGAGTGGAGTCCATGGAGCGTTCCTCAGATCGGCTGTACCACGCTAGTTCCCCATGGTACTGTTTCGTTGCTCTTCATCTTAAGCCCGCGTCATCAGTGCAGACTCCTGAAGGTCTATAGCTGAATGACTTATGGAGCTGCTCTTTGTATGATGATGGGGTGTCCTTAGCTATGATGTATGTGTGTGATGTATGATGAACTATCCTTTCATCCTACAATTTATTTATTACTTCGTAGTGTGAGTGGTAGTTAGTGAGCCTTTCCAGCAGGTAGCTCACTGCTTAGCCTTGGAAAGCATCGATGAGCCAGAAGTGAAGCACATTTTTTTTTCCTTGTCCCTCACCCCTACTTAAGCGTTGTTTGATGACCTACAGTCACATAACAAGCTTTTATCTTGGAGAGAGAAAAACCTAAATTTTCTCTTCACTTGCAAATTTTTAAGGGCAGTGGGTCATGAAGGTTTTCCTTGGCCTACACTATGGCTTCACAGGGATCGGAGGGAAGAGTGAAATTCTGGTGAACCCTGTGAGCTGGGAAATATTTTTTGTAATTGCAAATGATTTGAAAAAGAAATCTCTCCACCAGAAGAAGACAAAACCAGCCCCTCTTCTTAACGTAGCTTAAGCTTCATATGAGGTAAACTGAGCGGACATTGTGACTGACTTTATTTTGCTGGTCTGGCTGAGGTTCACGCTGCTTTTTTTTTTTCTTTGAAGAATGGACAGCTGGTTTGGAGGGTTACAGCTTGAGCAGTCGAAGAAACATAGCACTTCGAAATGATTCTCAGTCATGCGGTGTGCTCTACTCCAAAGCTCCTACTTATTTCTGTGGGCAAACATTAACATTCAGGCAAGTACTTTCTGGGTAGCTGTTGTCTGGTGCATCTCCTGGGAACCAAGCTTCCTTCTCTAAGTCCGTTACATCTGAATTGTACGTAAACCTGAGTCATGATGCATGTTTGACTTTTACATCAGCTCAGCCCCAGTCAAGGTAGCCTGTCTGTGTGAAGTCTGAACTTCCTTCGCTTTACTTCTACTTCCTGGCTCTTTAGGAAAACACCTGATGTTTTTGTAGGACCTGCATCTATCTAAAACAGAGACAAGTGAACTCCTGAGGGATGGTAAAATACAGTCCATGCTGAGCAAATCTGTGGAATGTTGAACTTCCTAAGTTTTGTAGCAGGTGTTACTGGCTGGTCAGAAGTCAGTGGGGGCTCACCATTCATTCTTTTTAACCTTGGGTCAGTGGGTTTTTTCCTTCCCAGACTATGCACATGCTTTGATGACTTTGGACGTGAAAACATTGTATGTGCTGCTGGGACAGGTAAGGATGGCAGTCTGGCACTGATGTCTTTAACGTCTGAGATAATTAGTGGTGATCAGACTACTGCTTGAAACTGGCATTAGAAACTCTTGAGTGGAGAAGGGATCTTGGGAAATTGAAGCTTTTCATTTGAGACAGAATGCAGTTAAAAACTTCGGCAGCTTTGCTGCCTGTAGTCCTATCCCTGAGATGAGGAACGTCCTTGTGGATATGTCAGTTGTAATTAGAGACCTCAGAGACTCCGAAGCTTTATTCCATCTTTCCCTGGTTAAATAAAACTACTTGCTGTACAGTAGGCAACCCCTAAAGGCAATTTAAGGGGGTTGTTCATGATATTTTTGTAACTTATTCCATGGTGTTTAATTTCTCCCTTCCTGATAATGAATTATCTTAACTTTAGATGGTTATAGTATGAGGATATATTCAGTTGCCCTGTCTGAGATGGGATAAAAAGATCTAAAGCTTTCATTTGAAACCTGTTGCTAGATTTAACATCTCTTGGCTCAGAAATGCCTGTGAAATTAAAGGCAGAACTTTGAGGTTTCCCTTGGTTCTCTTTCAGGCCAATGCCTTTTATCTTTTTTTATTGGTAACACATGAAAATCTTTTGCTTTACATTTTGATAATGTGGACTTCTCTCCAAGAGGAGATTGTTTCGGGATGGCAGAGCACTAACAAGCACATGTCCACAAGAACTGTAATGACACAAATCTTAAGATTGAAGACAACCTCAAAAATCGGTTGTATTCCTCTTCCAAGGTCCAAGAGTAGCTTCTTGTTTGAAAGTGTGTGAGATTTTCCTGAGCAGGGAGATGTAGTACTTGGCGCTTGGCTTCCTCCATCTGTTGAAACAAACGTGTATTCACAAGGGGATAAGCGGCTTGCAGAGCAAACGAAGTAAGCAAGGTTCACGTTACTGATGTTTGTGAAGCAGCTTTGTATTCTTCTTGTGTGTTCTGGACACAGGCATACCTCATCAGTGAAAAGTGAAGCTTTTGAGCGCAATGCTTTGTATCTGCTTTTTAAGGATAGACTGCTTTAGTTACCCTCTGAGGTGAGGCATGGGGACAAGTTGTAGGAAATCATTGCTTTAAGTCAAGGCTCATCCTGTTTCTTTGCAGTCTTCAGGGAGCTGTCCTTAGGAAAGGGAACGTTTCTCCACAGTGACCTGCTCGGCAGCTGTCTCTGAAGCTTTTGCTTGCAGTGGGGAGCCACAGTCAGTCTGGCCAGGCTGGTGATTTGGGACCATCCAGCAGACGCCCTGAGAAGATCATGGTGACTTTGTCAGGAACCCACCAGAACTCTACTGACACCTATTGAAAGGAAGCGCATGTGATCACCCACAGGTTTACTTCTCTGTGCTCTGAGACAAACAGAAACTGGTGGTGGTTGAACTGGTTCCGTGTCTGTATGCTGCAGTGACAGAGGCAAGGTTTTGCTCTGCAGCATTGGAAGTGGTGAGAAGGGATTCGAACTGTGTCCCGCTGAGCATTGTTCCTACCACGTATTCTGTGGGCTTTTTAAAATTTTAAGTCCCAGGGATCATAGAGGCTGGAGAATAACTTTGTTAATGTGATAGGAAAAATCAGCCTAGTAAAGCGAAGCTTAGGAGATTGTGCAGTGATGCTCTGAACTGTACTTGGGCTCTTTGTCTTTGGCTGGTTATTAAGTGCTGAAAAATCGAAACCTAGTGAGGAAAGGAACGGTGATCTACACCAGATGCTGGTCCTCTTCCCTGGGCGTGCGAGAGGAGGAAGGCCACTGCAGAATTATAGGTTGGCTGTTGTCTTGGGCACTGGGGTTGTGCTTCCTCGTTAGGGTGTAAGGAAGGTTTGGCTCTTTCCTACGGTGCGTTAGCGCGCAGCCCAGTCAGCTCTCTTGGAGTGAGGGCAGCAGTGTAGGGAGAGTAGCCCTGACGCTGGAAGGTGTGACGAATACAGAAGTGCACGATGAAAAACGTGGCCTCAGCCCAGTGGATGGCGCTGACAGTGCTGAACCTAAAGCGTTCAGCTGGTCCTAGACTGACTCTGGTGCAAATGCTCCCACTCTGGCTGTACCATCGCTCCTCCCTCAGGGTATTCGCTGTCCCATTCCTTGTTTGGTGCTTTGTTCTTCCTACTGCTGCTGGTCCAGGTTACCTTGACAGTGCTCTGCAAAAAAAGGTCTATATAAATGAGCAAGTGAGTGTGGATACAGATTGACATGATAGAATTCTTACTTTTTAATGGGTTTATAATTATGCATTTTTGGTCATTCTTGTGAAACACGTCTTGTACAAACACTTATTTCCAACTCAGGTAGGGATGGAATGAATTAATGTTACCTACTCACAAAGGCTTTACCCCTCAAGTTTACAGATAAATAACTGCTTATAAAGCTTCACCAGTAACTCAGGCAGAGTTTAAAATCTAAAGTAGTACCAAAATGAATTTGAAATCTCATTTAAAGTTGTTTTGGGAAAACACTGTGGATCGCTTCCAAATTAAAAGCTTCTTGGATACTTAATTTTTTTTTTTGTTTGTTTGCTGTGCGTTACAGTACAAGGCTTTTGCTATCTTAGTGATGTTCCCAGGGGACTGAGAAACCTAATGGAGTGCAAAAGTAAAACATGGTTCCAATTTTATCTTCCCTGTTTGTCTTGAAAGAGTTAACCCATTGTGTGCCAGTTTACTGCCCAGTTTAATTTCCAGTTCGTAAACGTTTCTGCTGAAGTTTTTCTGTTGTTTGGCGACAACGAAGTATCAGTGCTGCTCTTTCCCTCAAGCTGTAATGAAACTAACTGCTGGTTTACTTTCTAGAAAAGATCATCTGAGTTTCCTGGGTCACGCAGGCTCTCTCTAAAGTATGATTTAGCACCTTTGAGAGACGGCAGTACAAGAGAAAGGACTCAAATACAGAAGAGCCCTTCAGTGTACAAACTGTGCAGCCTCACTCAGCTGCTAGAGCCCAAAGGGAACTACATCCCAGGTCGTTTGCACAACTTGTTTGATTTTTTCCCGGAGATTCTTTCCCGGGACCAAAATCCTAAATGTCACTGAGCAGAAGCCAGACTTGTAAATGCTCTTCTAGGAATTGTTTTTAATATCCATTTGCACCAAGCTGGTTTATTAAAAACAAACACCCCCCCACCCCCCCAAACCCCACAACCTACCACCACTAAAACACATCAACCTTCCACCCCCACCCCTTTACAGCAGGGCTCAAAAAACCCCTAGTTTAGTCATGCTTATTAAATACTTGCTGAAACTACAGCCGTCCTGCCATAATAGCTGATGTTGATCAGTAATCTGGTATAGATGATTGTAGACTATAGTTTTGCACATATTGGTTGTTTCAGACAACTGGAAATAATTTCAAAAGACTCTATGCTGTGACAGTGGAGAATTTTATTAAATAGCAATGAAAGTTTGCAGGAAGCAGATTTATGTTTTGTACAGATTAATAGTCAGAGCATTGGTCAGCGGAGCTGTTGGGAAAGCTGGTAGGACTTCTGGTCATTCAACAGCGATCTCCCCAAAAGGTTGGATGAATTTGTTGAAAGCCCTCGAGCACAGTACAGAGGTCTGGTATGGCAGGGTATTGCTGTCTGGATTTCATTGTATGTTTTGATTTAGAGCTTCAGGGTTTGACTTAACTTTTTGCTTGGTAGAATTGAAACCGTGGGACAGCCAGACAGACGAGACAGCCTAGGAGTGTGTGTGGAGCAGCAGAACGGCTATGATTCTTTGCAGCGGGATAAAGCTGTGTGCATTAGCACAAACGGTGAGTCTGAATCACATAATTGAAGAATGTGATCCTTTTTTTTTTTTCCTTTCCCAAAACCCACAGACCCTGGTTCTTTGTACCCCTGGATCACGTATGAGCAACTTCATGCACCTTTTATGTACACACTGCTTGTGCAGTTAAAATCTTTGAGATCATGGATTCTCCTTTTCCTGCTTGCAGTTATTGCAACCTGTTTGATGTGACAAAAAGGAACGTGGCAGGGTTGCTTTCCATTTCTGTTTGCCTGCAAAAAAATAGGGAGACATAGTATTGCATGTTAGTATGTACAGAGAGTGAGAAATAATGTTTGGGATCTTGACTGTTTCAGGGGCAGTATTTGTAAATGGAAAAGAGATGACAAACCAACTGCCTGCTGTTACTTCTGGATCGACTGTGACGTTTGACATGGAAGTTGTGCAGTTAGGGCCTTCCAGCAACGAGGGAGGAAACTTCAAGCTTCGAGTAACCATTAGCTCTAACAACAGAGAAGTGGTCTTTGACTGGGTACTGGATCAATGCTGCGTCTCTTTGTATTTTGGATGTTCATTTTCATACCCAGGCTGGAAAGTTTTGGTGTTTTAGTGGTGAGTGAAGGGATTTTTGTTCTTGCTATAAAGTGTAATGTTAAAGCCTGGGTTTCCAGCTGTTTGACATCAACAATCTGTTAACAAAAACCTGTCTTTATACTACTTGAACTCCACTATATTGTACTTCCTACTGGATTCATTTAAAAAAAAATTGTGAAACATTGGATTTATTACTCTGGAAAAAGTTAGGAACAGGCATTTGCGTAGGCAGATTAATTTAAGCAGTTCATAAGACCTTTCCCTTTTTTCCTCCAGACTTGATTTTTGTCAGTATTTCATTGTACTCTAGTCTCAGGGTACGTGTGTTGTGTGGAATTAACTTTGCTTAATGCTGCTGTTCTGTGAAATAAGCCTGTAAACGTTTAGGGGGTGGTAATGGACCAAAGTTTTATTTATACCACTCAAAAAGAGCAAAGTATTTAGAGCAGTGATGTCCTGCTATGCTTCCTTGTACACAATGCTGCCTTAATAGTATGAATGGATAGTGGGTTCTGCATGCAACAGCAATTTCTTCCATGCACGGTACTGTTCATTCCTCCAGAGCAGGGATGTCTGAGCCATAATGTCTGTTGAAGTATGTAGCCAGTCTGTTACTGTCTCACTTAAGTGCCTTATTTCCAGATATTTCTTGAACTGTTTTCTGCATTGTCACTTGGAATATATTTTCTAGAGTAGTTGCATGGTGATGCTTACATCAACTTAACGCGGATGCTTGTCTCAGACTAGACCAATACCTAGAGTAGGACGGTTATCCTTACCTGCTCTGAATGTCTTCCCTAGTTATAATTTACCGTGTAGCCTATGTCAGAGCAAGTCTTAGTGATTTAGTCCTTAGGCGTGACATGCAGATGGCAGCCATGATTCCTCACAGAGCCCTTCTAAGACTTAGAGACAACCTTCTTTCTATTGTCCAACAACAGAGACAAGGGAAGTGCTGTTCTGATGTGCAGGATTCCTGGAAATCCCAGATAGCTACCTGGGAACACCTTGCATTCACGTGCAATAGTGCAGGTTTACGGTGCAAGCGCTGGGGATGGACTGGGCCACCCAAGCAAGCTGGGACTGCTGCTGGAGCTCCACCTTGGGAGATAATGGAGATGGGCTTTGGGTATGGGCTTAAGGCAGACCCTGCTGGCACAGATTTAACCTGTGGCAGTCAAAATGGAGCAGATGGTGGTAGTTTAGGTCTCCTCCATGTAGTAGGATGGGATAAGAAATTATAGGAATTGACTTTGAATTCAGAAGTTACATAAAGTTACCACTATTTCCCTTAAGGAGCAAGTGAGATTTAGAATGAGCTTATCAAAGAGAGCCTATCCCTGGTCAAAAGATTGCAGTACTACTGGATGTAAAGAATATTTTAAAGTAATGCTGAGGGGCTTAAAAGGGACCTTCTTACCTCAAGTTCAATTAAAATTAAATATATTTTAGCATGTTAGAATAGCAGTATTTTTATAAAACCTAGACAATCATTCTGCCCTTTTTCCTTCAGTGTCAACATGCTACATTAGCCCTCTATGCTAGCATAAAAAGCTTCATTTACATCGGATTAATATCCCCCATACTCACATTGTCAGTACAAAAAGATTAGTCACCTGCCTGCATTTTTTTCCCCAGGCATCTGTAGTAGGGGTACATGAACTTCAGAAGAGGAGAATGGCGGTTGATATTTATACCATTTACAAGAAAAAAAAGTGAGTAGATTCAGATGGATGCAAAGAACTTGCACACGGTAGAGTTAGGTTGGAATTTACTGTAAGACATGAAGAGAGGAAGACTGGACACCTGCAGGTAAGATAATCCAGTGTGTTAGCAACAAAAAGCTTGCAAGATTCTGGTTTTCAAGCTTAACTATTTCACTGTTAGGGAGTAAGAGAATACTAGCTTATCCTGTGCTTTCAGTGTTCCTTTGAATTATCCTGTGAAGAGTATTTTCAATACTTTAAAAATATGGTTCTTTTCTTATAGCCAGGAGGGTTCAATAGATGATCAAACAGTACCAGTCCTGTTTAGAGAGGCTCAGGCTGGCACTCCAGCGAACAGCCACCTTAAATCTTGCTCCACTTAGTAGTGCTGGTAAATGTACTTACACACTTCAGGTAACCAGGTGTCAGGTACTAGTTGTAACTTAGTACTTTTACCATATGGAAACTAAAATTGTGAATATCTACACTTCTGAGGTACCAACGGGTCGGGTATCTTTTCATCTGCTTTTGGAGGGGCTAGTCAGACTATTGATTCTGCAGGATATTTACTTGCATATTAGAAAAGAAAGCTTAAGCCTTGAATTCAGGTACTTGCAGAGATGGTAATGCCTTGTCAGTTTGTTCAGAATATACATACGAAGCAGCTGAAGATGACTGTGAAGGGCCGCAGGAGGCCCCTACCGCTCCCTTGAGGGCTGAGGATGGCAATAGAAGAAATAGCTTTTTCTGAGTTCAGTCTTTAGCTGGATGTTGAACAAGGGCAGCTTGCCAATGTTGGGTTGGTTTTTTGGTGTCGTTTTGTTGTGGTTTTTTTTAACTTGGCATAAGCCTAGCTGTCCAAATTGCAAATTAGGTACTGTTCAGTCACCTCTTAAACCTGGGAGGGGTGAAGAGTCTCAGGGCAAGAGACCCGAGTAATAAAGTAACGAAGTATGCAAAGAATCAGAAGAGGCTTGAATTAAAAAGGTGGAAATTCTGTTCTTCCACAGCAGAGTTCAGCTAGATAGAAAACTTGACACTTCTTTATAATTTTTCACCTCTAGCTATTGGAGCAACAGTGTGTTAACTGCTTATGAAATCCAATCCTGAAAGTTGTTTTTTTAAGCTAGTACATTCACTTACCTCAACTAAGACTTATGTGTCAAGTGAAATTTGACTTTTTTAAAATAAAGTTTTATCCCTCAACTGTGTATGGTCTAGTAAATTATTGCATCAATGCATTCTTCTAACAAGAACATAAAAATGTGTTCCGTAGCACTGCAGCCATCTTTAAGAGCTTCTCCCCACCCCACCCCTCTTTTCTTTTATTTTCATCTTCTGTTTTTTTTTCAGGTTTTGCACTTACGCACTTACTTTTATTTCCTGCAAAAAAAAAAGTTCCGATCTTAACTGGTATCTCTTGCAGAAATAAAAATTTTCCTCCTTTTTAAAAAATCAGTTACAGATCTGTAAACTACTTTCCTCGATATTCCATCACAGCTAATTTGTCTCTATTTTACTGTTCCCAGCTCCTTACAGTTGCATTAAATGGTGCAACTCTTACACATAGTTGGTTTTGGCCACCATTATTGAGCAAGAAGCGGAGATACTTAATCACCTTCAAAAAAAGTCCACGTTGAACTAAAACACAGCTTGGCTTTATTCCCTTAGTTCTGCTTTACCTGCAGCCTGTTCCATTTCCTTGGTGTCTTTTAAAGGAAAGAGAACTTGTGAAACCAGTAAATAAGGTTGCTGACATGGTAACTTTCTCTCATAAATACACCATTCATATGAAGAACCTTCTTCATGATCGGATGCCGAGTCTATCTCCTGAAGAGTGCATCTTCAGTCTCAAATCAACCAACTCAAGAACAGCAGATACCAGAGTCACGGAAGGCAGACTTACCTATGTCATTCAAAGCTCGTTTCCTCAGTTGTGAAACCACGTGGTATCAGATTTATAACCAGGATCCGGTCCAACAGGAACACCTTCACCATCACTGGTTGATGATGGCACCAAACTGTTCTGTGAATTAAGAAATACTTAACTTTGAACAATATTGTCAAAATTGTCCTCACAGAATGGCTCCTGCATTCTCAAAGGTAAAATCAAATTGCTGGTTTGGGGTGGGTTGTATGGGTCGGGGGTTTTGTTTTGGTGATTAGTGAAGTAATGAGAACAGTTCAAATTATTTGCAACTCCTTCATTCCAGGCAGTGAATCTTTACCCCATGCCCCAAAAATTCAAGGACTACATTCAAGACACAGTCAAAGCAAAGTACACTTAAGGTTAACAACTTAAATGCATCTAATAATTTTGAATATAGTATTTAATGCACTGAATTAAATATTCAAGTCATATGTTAGGTTCCAACTTGGGGTTCACCAAATACAAAACATCATGAAAATCTACCATGAACTTATTAAAGGCTAGATTAGAAGAACCTTGCCAATTTTAGAGACAAAAGCACACCGGACGACTGCAGTCTGAAGTCAAGTTTACAGAATCTATCTGTCATATCCTGTATTTCAGTATCTGAATTATTTTTACATGGAAAAAGGTTTTCAGTGCCTGCTATTCAACAGTTGCTATTCGGCCAAGCAGTGCAATTCCTCACTCGTTTTGTTCTGTAGTACCTGGAGTATCCATCCTCTACAGCCCCAGAGAAGCACTATTTTAAACTGATACCGATTTAAACTTTGCTCCAAATAAACTAAGTATCTTGTAAAACCTGTTTGAAACATTAACCACTTGCATGTAAAAAATGCACAAGTCTTATTTTTGTAACTGACACATCACAAGTGATGTTTCATTTTCAGTTATATAAATTATATTTCTAAACAGTAATACACAACTTACAGATAGATCTCAAGTATTCAGTTCTACCCCCTAGAAAGAATGAAAGTCTTTATAGTCTAGCTAAAAACCTGGTAATTCATGGAGACACCTTAAACATAACAAAAAGGCTGGACACAAACTTAGCTCCCTTTGTAACAATCTGGCAAAGGAAGAACAGGTATCCAAATTCTACAAGACATGCAGAAGAGAAAGTTTATACAAGGTACCGCTTGTGGCCTTCCTGCATGCACACAAAATGACTGGACAACCATCATGGCAGATTTTGTATTACTGAACTTTATGTACAAAAGCCGATTTCAAATAAAACATTTTAATGTAAAAACAATGGTTCATTTAAACAACTGAACTTGGTTTGGTTTTTGTTTTTGTTTGGGGTTTTGTTTTGTTTTTACATCTACTGTACCATTCAAATTCTTTTTAACCAGCTTACATGATATCTTCAAAATCTATCAAAGGTACATATAGAAAAGGCATCTTTATAAATAGAAAACAAAGGGATTTTTTCAG